GTTTGCTATAACGCGATTTATCGGTTAATAGCGGTTGCCTAAAAAAAATTTTTGTACACTCAACATTTTTTTTTCGACCGAAGCGTTTAAATAAAACTGACATACGATAAACTTTTTTTCTTTCATATGTAGTGATACGGCTTAATATGTGTACATACAATACTAATATAGGTACAATACACAACTACAGTGAAACCCGTTTAAGTACCCCTGCTTAAGTAACCAACATTTTTGGGCAATGTGAATTTTTGAATGTAATCTGAAGAAACTCCCTCTATTCTACTTCTCCGCTTATTTACCCAACCCCCCTAAGAACCTAAATTTTTCGTACACCATTTACCATTTTACCTATAATTTTCCGCTTTTTAGTGTCCTTTAAAAATTCCTTAAAATATTTACATATTCTGACATCGTTACACACCTTCGGCAAACAAAAATTATAATAAATCAACAGTAATTTTTAGCCACTTGAAACTTGCACATTATTAGACTAAAATTGAATGCGCTATAAAACTGTATACTCCAAAAACACATCTGAGAAAAAAAATGTTTAATTTTCATGAATTTTTTTCTTTAAGTGTTCTATAAAATCTTAAGCTTAGGTTTATATGGTATTTGTTCGGGAATGAACTGTATTTTAATTAAAAAATCTTAAATAAATACGTTTACTTCATTAAATGTTAAGGATTTACATATTTATGTAAGTTAACAAAAAGATGTAACTACATCAATAATTATGTTCGCTTAAATACCCGCCGCCTAAGTACCTCAAAAATCTGAAATTTTTCGTGAGGTACTTAAGCGGGTTTTACTGTATTTATGCATTTATAGTACATAAGTGCATGTACAAACAAAATATGGCAGATATAAGCGATTAGGCTTATGCTAATCAATATCGTTGTTGGCTCAGATGAGTGAGCTCATACTGACCGTTATATGCGACCGATGCACCCCACCGAAAATTCCCCTTTTCCTTGTGCTTCTCATTGTTTATAAGCGCAACATCTGCTAGTTTTCATAAACTTTTACACTCAACACCTCGCAATGGATTTTTCTTTCTATTCCTTTGTCTTCGCTGTTGCCCGTGCTCTTCCCCTCCCGCAATCAATTGCATTCTATTGCATTAAGTTCTTTCTTTTTTATTATCTCCTTTCTTTCCATTATTCTTTAGCAGATCAGCAGTCGCTTAAACAATTGCGTTAATAGTATTCTTTATTATTACTAAACAACAGAGGCAACTTTGTTACGAATATTGCACAAAGTGACTGTGGCAATGGCAATGGTGGTTGGTGGTTGTGGTGCTGGTAATAGTGGTCGCGGCGTCAACATCAACTGTGGCAGCAACAGGTTGCAAGCCATTCAGCAACCATGCAATATATGTACGTCGGCTCGTCGTTTGGTCAGCCACAAAGTCCAATAAGTGGGCAGTTGTGTGATTCGTTCTTTTCTTATGCTACATAATAGTTGTTGAAAGGTATGCACATGCATACATACTACATACATACATATGTATATATACGTATAGGCGCGAAGTTGGAAAGATGTTTTACCGGCTGCAGCAAACACGCCTTACTGAATAAAACTATAATGGAGGGAGCGTTGCAAGCGCGAGCAACAAGTTGTAAATTAGCTTTATGCTAATGCTTTTTATTGTTATGAAATTAAACTGTTTTAAGTGTGTTGCTATTATGAAGAAAAAAAAAAAACAGTTACGCACTCAAGCTCATTCATACTCGATTGCCAGACGTAAGCCTGCATGTTAATATCTGTTTTTTTTTTTTTAATAAGCATTGTTTATATTTATATTATTTCATAGCCGCTGCCATAGCGAAATCGAAATTATAACACAGTTCACAATTTTTTCTTTCGTTTTTTATTTGATCAATAGCAAATATTAACAAATCAAANCATAGCGAAATCGAAATTATAACACAGTTCACAATTTTTTCTTTCGTTTTTTATTTGATCAATAGCAAATATTAACAAATCAAATTGGCTGAGTGAATGGCTTGGGTGTGATATTTTTTTCGTGCTTTTTGAAAGTCAGATTATCTACCACAATAAAATTTAATTGTGACATTTTTGTCATTATCAAAAAAACCAACCACGTACATATGTAAATATGTACCTCTGAAGCATTTAGGTCATAAACTTGATGTAATGCAAATGAAAAATTTTGATTTAACTTTTTCTCAAATTACAACTGCATAAAATGTATTTATGAAGTAAGTACATAAATAAACTTAAGGAATAGGCAAATATGGTGTTTGTAAGGTTAGTGAAATTTGTAAGCCATTTGATATGAGATATGATACCTACAAAATAAGTTTAAAATCTTTTTCAAAAACTAGTTTTTTACATGATATTTATCATTGCTACACTCGAACCTTTACAAACTTGTTTTTAGAGTAATCTGAATAGTTAAATTGTAAAGAAATTTTAAAGGGTTCGTAAGTAAATCATTATTTCCCTTTCCGATTTCACAGTTCGACAAATTTTGACTTTTTTGTTACCAACACATCGTTTCGTGTAGATTTTTGTGTGCTGAATCCAAATCTGTCCGCAGAATTACCACTTTTTGGCACTTTAAGGTTAGGATATCTCACAATTCTATAGCCAGATTCGGATTCTCCACCCAAAAATCTCCACGAAACGAAAGGTGGTAAAATTTTGTTGACCTGTGTTTTTTGCCGAATTTTCCAAGATCGAATGTATTGTGCACACTTTGATTTATTCAGATTTAAATTTCTGAAGAAAATCGGTAAATCAACGAAAATAATGCTGCATTATGAAGATTTTTTTTCAGAATTTTCTTTAAGAAATCGTACAGAAACGTTATCAGATTGTGTTAACCACTTCGTATAATTTTCTTTGAAGATCGTTACAGAGCGTGAAACACACTTCCCAATTAAAGCTTTCGTTACGATTTTGAGAACTCTTTGTTTCAAACCTGCGCCACTAAATAACTACTCGCTCGAGGCGACAAACTTTAAAAACTTTAAACTTGACAAAACTGTAAATTCTTTTGGATTGACTGTGCACCAGTTGAAAGGACTTTCAGTTATGTTTATTTATTTTTTTTTGCGGTGCAATAATTCATCTTTACAATCTAGCATCATGGCAATACCGTTGTTTAAACACTACTGTTTTCCAAATAATTCTTCAATCTTATTCTTTTTTCTGAATTTCGAGAACCTGTAACGTCATCAGCGTTTTTCGATTTTAGTTTTTTTTTATTCATTTTTAATCTTTTCTTCTGTGACTAGCCAGATATACATTTTATCAGTGCACTTGTACAATATTCCAGGGACTGAAAATAACAGTTTAAGCTATTTAAGTCCTCTTTCATTTAATAAACTCATGTTTGATTTGGATAAGCGGATTGTTTATTATCCGGAAAGGACTTTTATTTCGGAATAAAAAAAATATTTGGCCAAATTTAACTCGTAAAAAAAGTACAAAACCATGTATCGTCATTCTGCAAAACTACGTAACTGACATTTGCTGCCAAAAATTGGATTTGGTCATACAGGCTTCCCATAACCAACATAATAATTTAAATATTATCTATATTATATTTATACACAAAGGCTCATCGGAATCAGTCTCGGAGTTATTAGGAGAACGATCAGCAAAAAAAAAACTCACCCAGGTATGTAGATAGGTACATACAGCCTGCGACACAAGGATAGCACATCAATATTTTGACCAGTTTTGATTATATTTCTTTTGTATTTTTTAATGCTCATTATAAAAAGTATAACTCACTATCTAAATAAAACCATCTAAATCCGAATTTAAAACTCTAAGCAAAAATTCACGAACTTTTCATCGCAATTCAACATTGTAACATTGACTAGATTGTTTTTCATCAATACGATTAGAAGTTTGAACTCCATTCCAACTGCAGAAGACGAAAATTAAATAAAAGCTACTACAAAGCAATTTTATACTCTCATTTTTCTAGCCACTTAATCAGGCCATCAAAATTAGATTAATTTAATTTTGCTTTAATTTAATATAAGATTACAATTAAGTTCAACTGTAATTACATTTTGTTTTAATTTTTAATATTTAATTGCTCGTTTTGTTTTTATTGTCCCATATCCATTGTAAGCTCTATTGTATTTTGTACCTATGTTAATTTTGTTGTACTAATAAAAAAAAGGCAATTCTTACTGTGCTAATATCACCGTTATAATAATAAATTAAAACGAAATGGATTCCAAGGCTTTTCCAATATTCAGCTCAGACCAGGGGCAGTAAAAATTACAACTTTTATTATAAAAATTGCTCTTTAACAATTATTTTTTTACTTTTATTTAATTACTCCTTACATAACAATTATTTCTCATTTCTCGTTTTTAAATCCAAAATAACAATCATTTTTGATTTTCAACTAAATAACCAGCAATCAAGAGCTATTTTTTATTTTTATATTATATGTTTCAGATAACAGTTATTGAATACTTTTATTTATAAGGGACATCAATAAAAATTAGACAGTGACATTTATTTTTTAAGTCATACTTATAAAAGTTATTTGTATAAGTCGTAGTAAACTTTCGTTTCCCAACACCTTCGTAATTGCGAAATTGATAATGGCTTTTATACGTATGACTTAAAAAATAAAAGTCAGTGACTGATTTATATCCAAAATTGTGAAATATAAATATAAAACAATTGTTATTTTTAATTTTGCATAAAACTACANCGTATGACTTAAAAAATAAAAGTCAGTGACTGATTTATATCCAAAATTGTAAAATGTAAATATAAAACAATTGTTATTTTTAATTTTGCATAAAACTACAAAAAAATTATTGCTAAATTTGATTCTCGGTGAAAAGAGAAATCGTCTGGTATATATATAACGTAGTTGTAGAACACTTCCTTCATAGTGAACTTTTCAATGACAAATTTTCATCAATAACTGTTATGTCCCTGGCTCAGGCCCATTGGTGAAGATAGAGCCGAGGCTATTTAGGTTTCCCCATGACCTCTCATGGATATTTAAAAGCATCATTTACTAAGGAAACAGAAGCACAGAGTGATCTGATCTAGTTCCCTATAACTTCTAGGTATTGTATCTGGAAGTATCTCGTTGCATTGCAGCAAGCCTTCAGTTTTCCATGGAGGTTTCTCGGACGGTAGATGATATCTTCATGAGTTTTAATGCGAGTCATAGGCAAATCACCCGTGATAACTTCTGCCTGTCAAAACACAAACAAAAATTTGCTATGGGCACAATCTACTCAGCCACTTAAACACTATGAATGATATCAGCTTAGAGCTCAATCTAAGAATATCTCTGGACAACATACTAAATATGCTGCCTTGGGCGCGCTAGGCGATGGAAAAGCAGCGCCTGCTCTCTCACAGAAAAAAATGCACCTTACAAATTTGCTCGTTCGAGAAGCCATTAGAATCATTTAAGGGCACTGGAAGGGCTTAGTGCAAGGAAAAGAGGCAATTAGCGATTTTTTTTTTGGTGATCTGAACTTGAACCGACAAATAGTTATAGTGCCGACATTGCCGATTTCGATTTCATGGATTGATATTAGCAAGTATGTAAGCTTTGAAAATTTTTAAATACAAATTAAGTCGCACATTCATATAGTTTTCCCACGAGCAATAAGAGCGCAAAAAATTGCAAATTTAATTAATATAAGCCCTTGGTTTAGCAGCGAAGATGCATTGTTCGTTTACCCTACGAGAACGAAAGAGAAAGCGTTTGAGAAATATTTGCGGAAATTCATTCCATGTAAATATTTGTGTTAATCCAATGAAAGCGTGGAAAAATGTGTTTATAAGCGTACGCGAATCTTCATCTTTTGAACTGGGTCTTTGCATAATCGCAACAACTGCTGCTGCTGCTAAGCACTTTCAATGCATACCCAATGTCGCTGCTGTTTTTAATTTTTGCACGCCAAGTTCTGAGCCACCGACAGCTTTACGTCGCCACCATAATACGCACACAACTCGCCTTTGCAACAGCTCAACACTTCCTTATGCGTGCAACAAGTCGACAGCTGGCTGACTGATAAGCCAATGCGCTCGTGTAATTCCCAATAGAAGTGGCAGAGACTTGGTGCAACATGCGCCACTGCTTCTTCTTTCACTCTCCACTGTGCCACATGCAACATTAAGTGGGCGAGCAGCCTGCCGCGCTAATGCGTAGCAAGTTACGATCCGGCGAAGAATGGACAGCAATAGCTACAAGTACATAAGTACGTACATACATACATATGTATGTAGTTTGGCTTCAGCGGCAATTATTGCACTACCAGCAGCGAACAAACTTGGCGGCAACTGGGAGCAAGTCATCTAGCCACTTACAAACATAGACAACCAGTTGAATGCGCGCACCAGTCAGCTAGCCAAACACAAGCAGTTGTTGTTGTGCTCCAACTTCGACAT